TTTTTTTTTTTTTTTTTTTGGTGGCCCGGGGGGGTTGTGCCAAAGTGTCCCCTCAAATATCTATCACTTCAGGCTGACAAATCCATATTGAGATAGTATAAATTTTGGACAGAAAGTGTTATCGCCTTTTTTCACACCTCTGTTTCTTATTTTATCACTATAAAAGTTAATTCAAATTAAATTTGGACGACAATTAGCTAGATTTTCGTAAATGACTTCACATATTTAAAGTTGTTACACCAAATGTTTTAATAGGGCCCATTTGTGTTTTTACCCTAAAGGAGATTTATTCTGAGAGTAATAATTAAAAGCAGTTCTTTACTTGTATACTCGTCCTAGTTTTAAAAATTACTTGCTAGAGTCACTTTTTAATAGTTTATAACAATAAGATCACTTTGTAGGAAAATCATCGAAGCTTGACTGATTTTGTTGTATTATAAAATATACAAAAAAGTAATTTTAGTGGATAATTTCTAAGATTTGAATGATGGTATGTATTGAACCTTCCTCTCTATCAGAGTCCATCCTTATTTTCACTTGAGTGTTCTTCCCTAAATCATAAAAACCAGAAGTTGGTGGAGGGAGTGTGACCAAGAAAAGTCAAACGAACAAAAAACATCAGCCAGCAAATGAAAAATTTGAAAGAAAATAAAAGGGGCTTCAGATGAAGAAAACTCAGAACCATTCATGAAATTGGTGGCCCCCAGCCAATTGTCCAATAGATTCTTCGCATATAAAAAAATCCAAGCGTCCTTTTTTGTTTGCGAATAATATTTATAGGTGTCTGCGTGTTTAGTATCTGTAAAATAAATACGTGGCTATCTTCATGATCTTTCTTTCTATTCCAGCCCTTGTTAAACTGAACTCTTTGTTTTTCTTTGTTGCACATATCTTCTTCTGCAGATGAGATCACCAAGTCCCTGGTAAGGTTAGTCTAAGCTTTCACAACTCTGCATGTTTATTCACAGCAATCTTCCAATTTTCTAATGTCATTATCCATGTGAGTCTTGACTATCAATTCTTTATGGTTAGAGTGTTGTTTTAGCATGAATCAAAATCTCAAATATGCTGTTAGTTTTCAGAAAAGAACAGCATCGTCCTTGGACTATGATCAATTTTTCCGCACAAATATTTTTCCAGTATTAGGATGGGTCCGAACAGAGCTGAATAGATATAGAGGATTCATATAGTCGATGCCAACTTAGTTCGAGATTGAGGCATAGTTGCTGTAGTAAGTCCATGCTGGCACCTTTCTGATGGTTGCTAGTAGACAAAAACCCTCTTGTTGCATTATCCATGAAGTGTGAAATGGGTATGATCATAATGTAAGTGAACTCAGTGGCGGATCCAAGATTTTAAAGTTATGGGTGCTCACCGGTAAAAATATCACAAGAAGAGGAAAAATGAATTTAGCGATGGGTGCTCACTCAATACTTATTTAAATTTTTTGATAATTACCTATATAAATCTATTAAGTTTGGCCAAAGACAATGAGTGCTTAAGCACCCATAAGACTCCTTGTGGATCCGCCACTGAGTGAACTACTTCAAAGTGTCAATTTAAGTAGATTGCACTTTCCTAGGTACTAATTATTAAATTGTGGTTTTATTCGAAGAAATGTTTGAAGATTGTGACGAAAGCCAAACAAATAAATTGAAGTCATTAAAGCGATAACATTTGTTTCCTGTTTAGTTTCCCAGTTTCACTTACTCAAGCAAACGTAGAATGGTTATAAAGAGCTTAGACACTATATAGTCATTCTTTGCAACACCAACCTGAAAAAGTTCAAAATTTATTTGCACAGCAGTTATAAATTTTATATGGTAACTAGATCCAGGAAACAAAATTACTTTGACATTCATTCTATTCCTTTTTGTTTTTGCTTAAAGGTGAGCATATCATGGTTCAACAATGTTAAAGCTTCAGAATCCACAAGCCTTTAGCAGCTGCCAATCATTTCTGGATACTAGCGTGCTGCATGAAGCCATTGCTTGCAAGACTAAATATGTCCATCATTTGATTAGCAGTCGTAGTTCTGCTTGCCTTGTGATTTCTCCTAAAGGAATCAGCAGTAGTTCTTTCTCTTGGAATTGGCTGAGTCCACTAAAAACTTATAAACTCTCTCAGCATGCCGCTTCATATAGATTGCTGGTAAGCGCTTATTAAAACATTTTCACTCTCTTGACATGTAATTTATCTTTATGTAATTCTTCTTTTTGTGATTGTTTCAGTGCCGGTCACAAGATGCCACTTCGCCTGAAAATGAGTATCGCTCCTCCCGAAATATAGCTATCAGCCTGTTCAGGCGATACAAGAATTTTATTGAGCGTGGAGGAGGTGACAACCTAAAAGTATTCTCAGTCATTTCTTCCTTCCTCTGTTAGGTCTTTATGTTGCTTTCTCTGTGCACTGTTATGATTCTGATCTTTCAGGAGTTCATCAGTGCTGGTGTAAATGCATATGCTTTGGGATCTACTGATGAAGGTTTGAGGAAAGAACTGATTGCTCTGAAGGAATCTGGTGCTGAAATTGAAGCCATGGAAACATATGGAGGAAGTACCACCCTGAAGTCCAAGATTTCATCTGAGGAGGTGAGTCACTTTTGTATTACAAAACTAGGCGGGGTGGATGGGAACTAGGATTATGCAACATGTACATATTCCATAATATGATCAAGAGGAAGTTGAATGAATATGTTTCAGTAGATACTCAGCAGTACGTATTCACATCTCAAAGTGAAGTATTCCCAGGTAAATTAGATTTTCTCATTTCATGAGGTTATGAAGCAATTTGATTCTTTCGTCCTTTTTGTTTGGATGTCACTGTTCCACAGTTGACTGGATGTCCAAACTAATCTCGGTGCATTATGTAATAGTAATTATTTAGTTCTATGTTGTTTCTTTGTCTTTTTCTCCGTTGTCTCATTTCAGATTATTTTCTATAATTGATGACACCACTGTCAGTATTGCCATTGATTAATCAACATTATATAAAACAGGGTTAGAGTTGTTACTCTTCCTGACAAGATAGAGAAAAGTTTCCAGATTAATTACTTTTATGAGCTATATACGTTTATAACTGCTCATTAAGCTTCAACTTTGTTGTTGCCAAAATTATAGGTGACTGCAGCACTACATGTTTTGATTACCAATCGAGACAACTGCAAAAGGTTCTTGTTGTCATGATAGAAACATATGTTCTACTATCCTTAAATTTGACAAAGATGTATCTGTAAAACCTAGGTTATGTTTTTCAACAATATGCATTGATCTGATATAAAGCATGTGCAAAAGATGGTTTCCTTTTCCTGAGAATTATCGATAAAGGAAGACAAAGACTATCTTAAACTGTTAAAAGCTTGTGCAAGCAGTGTTTCTTTTCCTGAGAGAACAGGGTGGAATTTGATAAGGAGGATGCATACTGTTCTTTGGTGACTTTCCAAGAAAATAATGACACTTGTAAGAAAACAAGTAACTGCCTGTTTATATTTGAAGTCTATTGTTTTCGCGTTAGTAGGTTCTAGGATCAAACCGAGAAAGTTGGTTTTCAGAATCAATGTTACAACCAATGATGTTCATCGTTCTAATCAATGCCGAGTCAAATGAAGTGAGAACCCTATGTTTGATTTGTGTTTTTGATGATTCAATTAGCCGGATCTGCTCAGACCTGATTTGTCGCATATGTTTTTGGTTCGATTCCCAAATCGTTGACTTCTTTCCCGCTGACTGTGAGAAGCGCACTTCTATAGGCACCAAGGTAGAACATCTTAAATCTTCTTGCTAGACTGCCTCTTTTCTTAAAGTAACACTAGCATTCATCGAAATAAAATGTTATGCTGCTGTTTGGTTTCACAGAGGTAAGTTTCTCTGGAATTTTGAGGGTTTTTTTTCTTCTTTTTGATAAGTAAAAGGTTTTATTATTCAACTAGTACCAAACTGGTACAGAAACAAAGTACAAGGCATCAGTATTACTTTTTCACCAACATAGTTACATATTTCCCCCTAGTAAGTACAAAAAATCCAGATATTGATCCATCCTATCTAGGTTATTACTATAACACCACAAGTACAAGTTCTTAATACACTTGTTTTTTACTCTAGATATTTGCAATCTCTTCCCTTCAAAGCATGCCTTGTTTCTCTCTAGCCATAAAGTCCATGAATGCAATTAGGGATGGTTTTCCAGATTTGCTGTAAATTCGTTGACTCTTTGAGACTGCCACATTATCAACATATCACTGATCTTATATATGCCCATGATGTTAAGAAACAATTCCCAATGTTGCCTTGAGAATCTACAGTGCAAGAACAAATGCTCAATAGTTTCCTGCTCTGAATTACAGAAATAACATCTGCTGCATAATGAAAAGCCTCTTCTCTGCAACTCATACTGAGTTAGACAAGCACCCCTAGCTGCTATCCATCCAAAACAGGCTGCTTTCACCGGTGCTTTTGTTTTCCAGAGACAATATTTCTTTTCAAGAAGTTTCCTTGGAAACCCTGGATATCGGCTCTCATTCTGAAAATTTTGGATGCTTGTTTCAGGAATTCCTCCCTAATCTTGGAAAAAATTGTCTGGAAAAGAATAAACATGCTAATATGTTTTTACTTCTCATCCATGCTACTGCATAATGATCTCTTGCCAGAATGGTCCCATGGGTATTAAAACTTCAAGTTGTCAGAGTTTCCTCATCGCTAAATGGATATAAGTTTTCTAAATCAGTTGATTACATGTATTTTTTTGCAAGTTTTCTTATTTTTATGAGAACCACCATATCTACTATAAGATATGTGATGACAACTATTTAATGACACCTGCTTATATTGGTGCAGGTTGATGAGTGTATTATGTGGTTGAGCATTATATTCATCACCATTCTATGTACACCTCAACCAACTATCGTTCGATGGTCATCCACACCCCCAGTTTCTGATGAAATGATAGTCCATTGGAAAGGCTTCTGTGCAATCATAGCAAATGCATACTTTGTCAGAGGAATGGCATGGTAAGGTTGCTGGAGGGCATACTGTCTTAAAGTAGATATTTTTCCGTTAAGAAAAAACCTGTCATCGACTATTTTGCTTTTGAGGAACTTTATTCAACTTTCCTTTAATATTTCATTTAGTTCAAGAATTGAGCTGTAGTTGATATACTTCCATTCAGTTTAACATGAAAGTAGGTATCATGTGTATTAACATGCTGTTCTCGTGAAGGCTTCCAGTGAAGACTCTCCAACTAGAGCAAATGGCAGTTGTGGGTCATGCTGAAGAGCCATCAGTTGTTGCTAGTCGGATGAGACTAGTTTTTACCACTCTAGAGGTAAGTTCAATGGACAACTTTCTACTTCTAACACTCTTTCCAAAACAGCATCAACAGAAATATGCAATGGCGGATTCAAGAATAGATTCGCTGGTTTTTGATAGAGCTCAGTGCTTAGGTGTGCGAAAAACAATTATATATAGAACTAGATCTCAACTCAGAACCCACAATGTCTAAATTCTAAAGCATGACACAATTGTGTCTCCGGGTGTTCATGGTTCGAATGGTCTGGTTTTTGCCTCAAAGCAAAATTAAACAGATCTTGAATAGTTGGCTTTTAATACTCCTGGTTTGGTTTTAACAGGGTTTAGAAACCTTTCTCCCTTCTGTTAAAGAAAAGGATCTTAAAACTTAGGGAATAAAAAAAGAAAGAAATAAGCTAACATTGCAATAGCAAATCATTAAGGAAAAAAAAAACAATGGACACAACAATCATCTCTTGTTTTATGATCTATTAAACATAAGAAACTGTTCGAAGACAAACGAAAAAAATTGAAATTTCTGGTTTTTCATTGGTAACATGTTCTTTTCTTATTTACAAAGTATCTTTTTTCCTTGTTCTTTTTAAGGTTGTGAGTCCACAATGGCCTAGAGGATAAAGCAGTAGATCCAGAATTCAGACTTCACCAATTTGAAACATAGTTCAGCAAGATATATATGTACATTTCTTTCCTTTGTCCATGCACTGTTAACATGAATATTCTGTTATATTAATGTTTATTTGACATGCAAATAATTCATAGGCTGCTCACTGTCAACTCTTGCTTGAACATATTGCTAGGCTACTTTCATAGTGAGTCAGAGCATATAAGATAAAAAACATATAACTGCTGGAGCGTACCAGAAGTGCAATTCTAATTCTGATGTAGATCAAAACAGGTTGTCCAACAGGGGCAACTCAATTAGCTAAAGAGGGCAATACACCTTAATATCAACTGTCATAACAAATAAAATGAAGAAAGAATTTTGGTTCGAATAATATTTCTAAATCAAATTTGATGTAAACTCAAATTTGATCACTTATCTCAGGATTAAAGTAATAAATGGATATACATATGCATATATTTAAAACTTGTCTTTTAGATCTTGAGGTATGCTCTGCATGCCTAGCAAGAGAAAGATGTTTCAGCTGTCTAGTGAGGAAGTCATTTCTGGGCGATTAATTTAACTTTTAACTTTATATTCTTGCTCTAACTAACAATTAAGTATTATTGATCTTTTGGTATTCAATAATTTCATAAAAACACTATCCAATCAATTTGCTAATATTATTTTTAATGTTGAAAATATATTCTTTTTCCGGAAAGTATTTACCACTCACCAAACAAATATTAGAAATAATTTTCTCGAATTATTTCCATGAAACACATTTTTTAGAAAAAAACATTTTTCTTAATGAATGAGGTCCATCATACCAAACATGCTAAATTTTCACTCTCTATTGACTATGGAGGTGATTATCAGCTCTGTTGCGAGGCATAATTTGGGTCTCAAGAAAAATATCACAGGATTCAAGTTCTTTAATTAAGATCCAAATTTAGGCGTGTGGACTTTAAATCTCACCTTTGTTTGGAAACTAGATAATAAAAGGAAAACAACATATAAGTACATGAAAAATATAAGAGAAAATAGTGGACCCTTACATAAAATTGTGTTTATATCTTTTCAATTTCCTTTCTTAAGCAAGAGAAGTTAAAGGGAAATTTGGTACTTTTCATTTCTTTGTCACTTCTCTTATGGATTACCCCTGGCCTCTGTCCCATTTTAACTTTGGTAATTTGAAAGTTTTTGACTGAATCCAAAAAATCAAATTTTTTGTAGTGCTAATTAACTCCTTTTATTATCACATGACTTAAAAGAACTGTTGCAGTAATCATTTCTTCATCAAACAGCAAGTTTATACTTTTAATAAACAAACTTATGTACTACTTTATTATCTCACGCCGTTTTGGTACAATAATGTTTTCAACTCACTTTAACATCTATGTTTAGTCAAACTAGGATACCTTGATTGGGACAGTGGACAATGAATCAAATGTTTCAATCATACAACCCAAAAGGAAAAACGAAAAAGGAAGAATGAGAAGAAACAGCCTCCGATAGCAAGTAACCTCTCGAGTCTCCCAAGAGCAGAGTGAGAAGTTCTTGGAGGGAAGGATGCCGAAGGTCTATTTGGAAATAGCCTCTCTATCCCAGGGTAGGGGTAAGGTCTACGTACACACTACCCTCCCCAGACCCAATTAAGTAAGATTATATTGGGTTGTCGTTGTTGCTGTCGAAGAATGAGAAGAAAGGAAAAGCATTTTATCAAATTGCAGAAACTGGTGAAAGATTTCCTTTATTCTGAACGAATTGGCAAACAAATACTAATACAAATATATCATTTGTGCTCATTATGCATGGTATTGTACAATACAATTCCACTCATGAATCTATTCACTGTCTGTCTCTCAGTAACCTTATCCGAATTATTCTCGTTATACTAGAACAGGGGAAAAAAACAAACAGTACTACAATTTGCATGGCAAATGATTGGTTGACTATTTTGTTATTCATCTTTTGAGCAAAGTTGGCACTGAGACCTTAAGGTTGTTTGTCAACATTCTTGCTAGCTTCATCAACAGGACTAGAATTTCCACTAGTACCAGCTGTTCCAATGCCAAAACCAAATCCCATACCCATTCCAAATCCCATTCCAATGCCACCATTATTATTTCCACCATAGCCACTGCCTTCTCCATGCCCATATCCTTCACCATAACCTTCATCACCACCATTGTTATCACTAGTATTTTTAACTCCTCCAGATCCTCCTCNCAAAACCTCCGCCGGCTCCAAAACCACTACCGTGACCATAACCTCCATCAACACTACTGCCACCTCCACCACCGGACCCTCCACCACCTCCACCGCCTTCTGCACCAACTCCAGCTCCAAATCCTTCACCATGACCTGAACCACCAGCTCCATTCCCACCACCACCTCCATGACCTCCGCCACCACCACCACCTCCCACACCTACACCTGCCCCGGAACCATAACCCTCTCCATGTCCAGAACCTCCATTACTACTTCCTCCTCCACCACCACCGCCACCTCCTCCTCCTCCAACACGATTTTTGCATCCACGCCAGCCACCATAGTAGCAATAATCATCTCCATCCTCCCCATGCCCCTCCTTCATACATGCCATAACAATGCTTAGTACAAGAAGAGCCATGCATAAAGAACGACTAGAAGTAGCCATGACTCTTTCAGATAACAAAGTAATGTAAGCTCAGACTAAGTAGTGAGTCTACTGACCAGCTTGAGCTTCCACTTTTTTTGGTTCTTCTTTGTGCAAGAACCTCCCCTATTTATAGCCATTATTCATGCAATCATTTGGCCATACCTCAACCGGTAAGTTTTAAAAAATGCATGTCTTGGAATTTAAAAAGAAAAAAATGGTCAACATTGACTTTGACAGGCTACTAACTAGCCGGGCACTTAATATTTTCGATATTTAGTTGGTACAAATATGTCGCTACAATGCATATCTTTTGTCATTACTTTTTGCATCTGCCAGTACTAGAATTCCCCCAACTAAAGGATCTTGGTTCGGTCCAATTCCAATTATAATGTCTATAAATCTTAAAAGTGGCGAACCAAATATAAATTCATGGAATTTTTAACGTAGTAAAAGCAACGGGGCTGCATGTGACTAAACCTATGGCTTATACATGTTAATGTTGGTACATTATGATAATCGACAATGAAATAGTGGAGTTGGTGACGATATCTTCACTAAATCAAGGTATTCTTAACAAAGACTTTGGATTCGTTTTGATCATGAGGTCCAGGTGTCATTCTGTTTTATAGCTCTACATGCCATTTTCTAATGATACCAAAGATTAGAGTATAAAAGATTGTACTTCTATTGGCATAGAGAAAAGAGAAAGGACGAGCAGAGGAATTCCAAAATTTGAGAAATTGTTTGTGCAGCCCATGTGAGTGGGAGTCATAATTGGAAAAATAATTATTGAGAAACCAAATGAATAAAGGAAAAATAAAAAGGAAGTAGGAAAAACTTATTGGTATTATAGGTATAGTGGCATTCCATTGGATACGTGAAGTGTACTTGTGGCAAGGAACAAAATCCAGCCGATAATGGCACCCATATTGTCTCTCATGGTCCAAACAGTATCTCAGAAAGTCAACAATCATTCCGTTTACTTCGAGGTTTTGATCCCAATTAAGGACCACTTTATACGTTTACAAGTTTCTACTACTTGTGTGTGGACACCTTTAATTTGGGACTCATTTCATTGAACTAGTCATTCTACTTCAATCAGCATCCAGTTACGCCAGACGGTTTAAGTTATGGATAATATAGCGTATATGTAGAAAACTTTTTCACAACTAATGCAATTTCGGCCGTTTTTATTCCCGTGACATAGTTTGAATCGACATAATATTCAAGGGGAAAAATGGAGGCTTTTGAAATTTGCAACTTTAAACATTGTCTTAATCTTTTACGGGTGTAAAAAGTTATCTTTAATGAGAAGTGTAAATAAAATTTTACATATAAAATGTGACACTTTTTTTAGTGGACTAATAAGAAAAAGTAATTAAAGAGTATTTTATTCATTACCATATCAATTTTGTCAGAAAGAGAACATGTTATTATATGTAAATCAAATTTAATTTAATTTAATGGTGTAAGAAATTTCTCAAAGCACCCAAACTATTGGCAGGGTCCACCTAAAGACAGACAAATAGAAGAAGCCTTTGTCTCCTTAAAATTATCCTAATTTAATGGAGCTTCTCCTTTGTGTTGAACATTTTAGTGCAATTATTGGTGACTTCATTTAAGGTGCATAAATTTTATGTAAAGATCCCATAAATAATCAGAAAGCCCCAGAGTCCGAAGGAAACGTGAAAACAGGACAAAGAAAAAGTGATCTAAACAATACTCCGATCCGTTTTATTTTATTTGACTGTCACAAAATTTAATTAAAAGATTTTTATAATTTATGATCTTAAATATATCATAATATCTAGGCGACTATAAATTTTTTAAAATTTATGGTCTTAAACAATATCAAAGCACATATAAAAACATCTCATCAAGAAAATATATAAAAATAGTATTTTTCTTTTTTAAGTGGACTAATAAAATGATAGTACCAAATAAAGTGGAAGAAGGGAGTGATAGTTATCAAAAAACAATATTAAGTGGTTTTTGTCTAATCATTGGAGTATCATTTGTATTACTTAATTAATACACTTCCAGTCAACCAATCTTCACGGTGGCTGACCGGCGATACGGGCATTTTTATAACTCGTAGCTATCAGTTTAATGATACTAGGGTTACTGGTTTAGGTTGCAATTCTAATGTCCCGTGGGGTGGCTTGACGCAATATGTGATTTGTTTTTGTATACCCTACAAAATATTTTCGAAAAATTAATTCTAAAAAAATGTATTGAAAAGAGTAAAAGCTGGTCCCATAAAACTTCTGGATTAAGATTAATTGCAATTGACATCTTAGAATAACCAAACGAAAAGAATCTTTAATACAATTATTCAGGAAATGAAGGACTAAATTTTTTTTTTAATTGCGATTGTCGGAATCACCTTATATGATCACAAAATAACACCCCATAGCTTGACCTTAAAAATAAAAAATAAAAAAAATCCAAAAGCGTATTCATATCTTGGAAGAGAAACAATGTGTGTATGCTTGAGCTTGACCGAGGGTTGTGGTGGAGTGGTAAATACTTATTCATCCTTAACCAGATGTCTCAGATTCGAGTTTGTGGCTATGAAGTCGCCTTTATTAGAGAGCTTTTTACCCCTAATGTGAAATTTTCCGGCGCGAATCCGGATTTAGTCGGACCCCAATGTGAATGATGGACACCGGATGGGAAATAAAAAAAAAGTGTGGATGCTTGTGCATCTTCTTTTTCCATCATGAACCCTAAAGATGGAACATGATAAAGCATTGGAGGGGAGAACTTTTTGAAAGTAAAAAGTATTCTATTTTGTTGGTCATAATTTTCTAGAGTGCAAGATTAGAGTGGTCACAGTTTTGCAGTGAAGGAAATATAGAAAAGATAAAGATGAATTGTACAGATGGGATTTTTAGCAGCCCTACCTAGTAAGTATGCTAAGCTAAATGAGCCTGCACAAATTTTATTATATTTGTTTTGTGGTGATTAATAATATCTTTTCTTTTACCAAAAAAAAAAAAAAATCTAGCTCATTTAATTTTGAGAATGCTCTACTTTGTCTTTTTCCATGCACCAAATATTCAAGCTTCTTCTTATAAATCTTCTAGTGGAGAACAATTGTACAAACTACTCCCACTTGAGCAACTACATATATATAGGTATATCTTTAACTTCAATTTAAAGTTTTAAAATTATAGTGCCTTCCAGTACCCTCTTCAATGGCTTAATTATCAAACCCTCTAATTTTAAAATTTTCCGAGTTGGATATTCTTGATCTTTTTTCTATCAAATATGCATGTTCTATTTTCATGCTCTCCCCAAAGCATTATGTTCCCACGATACTTCAATTGTCTAATTACCACAGGAATATATAGATCTTATCTTAATAAGCAAACGTGGGCTGTTTGATGAAGCTACGTCTTTAAACGGTATTTAATTCGAAATTATAGTTAATAGGAGTACATGTTAGAACTTAAGCTATACAATCAAATGGCATTATATATGCGCCTTTTTAATTTATATACATTTTCAGTGTAAAACATCTTTAAATTATCAATATAGTTTAACATGTTGCAGCAAGTTACCTAATTTATTTTCCAAGTTATTATACTTATTATGAATACTTGCTTATATCATTTACTTGATCTGATAGTATATTGTAAAATTCCTTTATACTGTCAATTAGTACATAATGAAGATTTGAGAGTTTCAGTGAAGACAACAATGGCGGAAAATAGAAGAGAAGGTTCTAGAGAGATTTTTTCTATTTGAGAGAAAATTGGCTTGTATTATTGAAGCTCTACATTACAATGAATTGATACTATGTATATATACACACTTCTACAACTGCATTTAATCTACAGCCTTTTATCACCTAAACTAACCAATCCCATAATTAGTTATAACTAACTAATCCCTCTTAACCGACTTAACTACACTCACGTGATTGGTACGTGACTATTCCTATCTTCAACACTCCCCCTCAAGCTAGATGGTGCAAACAAGTTCAGCACCCCTAGCTTGCCTATCAGGTAATCATGTTGTGATCTTCCTAGAGCCTTTGTGAACAAGTCTGCTTCTTGGTCTCTAGACATCACATATCTTGTTTTGACAATTCCTTGTTGGATTTTTTCTCTGATGAAGTGCAAGTCTATTTCTATATGCTTCGTTCATTCATGGAATATAGGATTTGCAGCAATTTGGATTGCTGCCTTGATATCACAGAACATCTCCACTGGCAATTCAACCTCTGCACCCAGTTCCTTGCATAACCCTGTCAACCATAGGATTTCTGAGACTGTAGCAGTCATGCTCCTGTATTCAGCTTCTGCTGAGCTTCTTGATATCGTGCACTGCTTCTTTGACGTCCAAGACACCTAAGAATCTCCTAGCTTCATCACGTACCCTGTCACAGACTTTCTTGACACTGGACACGATGCCCAACCAGCATCACAAAATGCTGTGAGTTTTGGGCAAGGCTTTGAGCTCATCAGTAGACCAAGACCTAGTGCCCCTTTTATGTACCTAACAACTCTTATTGATGCCTCCATGTGTGACTTCTTTGGACAATGCATAAATTGGCTCAACACATGCACTGCATAACAAATGTCTGGTCTTGTCATAGTAAGGTGAAATAGTTTCCCAACCAATCTTTGGTATGGCCCTGCATCTGGTAGCTTCTCATCATCTTTCAGCTCCAAGTTTTGGTCATATTTTGCTATTGTGAATCTCTGATTGCACTCCATTGGAGTGGCTACTGGTTTTAATCCTGTCATTCCAAGATCAGTGATCAATTCCATTGCAAATTTTCGTTGATTCATCAGTATTCCTTCTCTTGATCTTGCTATATCAATTCCCAAAAAAAAATCATCTCCCCTAAGTCTTTGATCTTAAAGTTGCTTTGCAATACAGACTTTGCTTCTGAAATTAGGCAATGATCATTCCCAGTTATGAGAAAATCATCCACATATACTAGAATGATCACTAGACTGATCCCTTGCCTTTTTGTAAACAAGGAATAATCAAATCGACTCTGCACAAATCTTGAATTGATCAAGGCCTCAGTCAGCTTCAAATTCCACAGTCTAGAAGCTTGCTTCAATCTATAGAGGGATTTAGGCAGCCTACATACTTTCTCCCCCTGGTTGTGAAATCCCTAGGGCAAGCATATATACACTTCTTCAGTGAGGTTGCCCTGAAGGAAGGCATTGTATACGTCCATCTGATGCAAGTTCCAATTGTGTGCTGCTGCTAGGGCAAGAACCACTCTGACTGTCACCATTTTGACTACAGGAGAAAAGGTCTCCTGGTAGTCGAGTCCTTTCATCTGATTATACCTTTTCGCAACCAAACGAGCTTTGTATCTTTCAACTTCCCCGTCTGCTCTATATTTTATTTTGAATACCCATTTGCAACCAATGGGAACTTTCCCTATTGGCAAATCTACCAAGGACCAGGTCTCATTCTCTTTGAGGGCATTTAACTCTTGTGTCATAGTTTCTACCCATTTAGGATCTGCTGCTGCTTCTTCATAGCTGCTAGGTTTCTTCAAGCTAGTTATCTTAGAAATATAAGCTTTGTACTTGACCTAAATCCCATCATGACTCAGAAAATCTTGCATGGGATACTTGCAAGATGTCTGTGAAGTTGAGCTTGCCAATGAACCATTGCACACATAGTCCTGCATTTAGGCAGTTTCTTTCACAGTCCTGCTAGATTTTCTAGGCCGGTTGTCTGAGTGTGAAGAATGGACTGCTTTTGAGAATATTCCTTCTAGCTGTTATGGCTGTTGTATGTCTTTAAAAACTGGTGAAGGTAGCAAAGATGGTGATTCTACAGCAGGTACTAGCTCATGTTGTAATGCATCTGTAGAAGAAGGACTTGCTGCTTCATGTGGAGGATCTGCATCTGTAGATGAAAGAGAGGGTGGTGTTGTGTCATTGCTAGTAACTGATTCTATGACTCCGTTGGGAAAAACCTACAACTTTCGTTCCTTTAAAAGCTAGAAAGGAAATATGTTCTCCATGAACTTTACATCCCTACTGACAAAAAATGAGTTAGTCAAGAGATTATACAGTCTATATCCTTTTTGAGATGAAGAATATCCCATATGAATAGCTCAAATGGCTCTTGCTCCAAACTTATCTCCCCCTACTAGAATTTTGGCAAAGCACAGACATCCTATGATCCTCATATGCTGTAAGAAAGGTGCTCTTCCATACATCATCTCAAATGAGGACTTCCCGGATAGCACTGACAGGGGAAGTCTATTAATGATATAAACGGTCGCATGCACACATTCACCCCAAAACCTGAGAGGCAAATGACCTTGCAGTCTAATTGCCCTAGCCACCTCCAGTATATGTCTATGTTTTCTTTCCACTACCCTATTCTATTGTGGGGTATGGACACAGGAACTTTGATGAATCATTCCATACCATTTGAACAAACTGCTGCATTCAGAATTGAAAAATTCAGTCTCATTATCACTTCTCAAAATTCTGACTGTTCCTCCAAATTGAGTTTTTATTATATCAAAAAACTGTTTCAAGCATATAATCACATCACTCTTAAGTCTCAACAAGTAAACCCATATCATTATAGTATACTCATCTACTATAGTAAGAAAGGATTTGTATCCATTTTGACATGCTACTCTATATGGACCCCATACATCTACATGAATCAGCTCAAAAAGTTTATTTGATCTATTTGTACTCTTTGGAAATGGTAATCTTCCTTGTCTAGATAGAGGGCATATTATGCAATCTCTTATTCTATCATTGTTAACCTTGAACTTTATGTTTGGGATTTGTTTAACCACTTTATCAGGGGCATGTCCAAGTCTCCCATGCCAGACCCCTAGATCCTCTTCAACTTTTGGAATGATCATGTGTTTGCATAGTTGCAGTCTTGGCTTTGTCCTGCTGATGCTGCAGATTATACAATCCTTCAAGCTCTTTACCAATCCCCTTTACTTTCCCATTGTGAAGGTCCTACATGATCCAGAAGTCACGATAGAAGGATAAAAAACAATGTAAGTCCCTTGTAAGCTTTGAGACTGACCACAGATTGTATTTAAAATCTGGAATGTATAGTACATTCCTAATAACACCACATTCACCGATCCGACTTTCTTCAGTACAAGCAATATCTAGTGAGGTACCATCAGGTAAATGAACCTTAGATCCAGACTTTAGGCTATTAGTATTAATCTTGTCAAGCAATTCTCTAGTGTGAACCATGTGATTGGTTGCACCAGAATCTACTATCCAGTTTTCACTCTTTGTTTTGTCAGCTAATGTAGTGGCCTTAGTCGTACCTACAAAATGCTTTGAATTGTCACTTGTGTCTTTGTTGAGCAATTTTAAAATTTGATCATATTGTTCCTGAGTAAACATGATTGGCTGAGGCAGTGCAGGTGTTGGATTTCCAACTGGTGAGTTCAGCATCTGCTGCCCTTCCTAAGATACTACATTTATTGCTGCCTTTCCCATGTACTGTTGTCCTTCATTTGCTGCTACCTTTCCCATGTATTGCTGTCCTTCATGTGTTGTTATGTTAACCATTGTTCTTTGTAGAAAACTATTGGCTTTCCTCCTCATTTTGAAATCATTTGGATAGCCATGTATTTTGTAACATGTTTCTCTTGTGTGACCTTTATAGTTACAGTAGTCACAAAACAGATTGTTTCTTCTAGGCTTATAAGTGTTTCTTGTATTCATGCCTCCTTTGTTAGTGAACAATGCTGTATTGTCCCCCATATCTAATGCCTATGTAGATTTTCCCAGATTTATCTGACTTTCTTCAGAAACAACCATGGAATAGGCCTTGTTGACGGAAGGTATTGGACTCATCATCAAAATTTGACTCCTAGGCTGTGCATATGTCTCATTTAGGCCCATCAGAAATTGTAGCAACCTCTGATATTCAAAGTGCTCTGGATAGATCTTAGATTCTGGACAATCACATCCAGGACATGGCATCAAGGCATCATATTCTTCCCATAAATCTGTCAACCATGAGAAATAGGCTGACACAGTAGAAATTCCTTGTGACAAAGTTGCAATTTCTTTATGTAGAAAAAAAATGCGAGATCCATCCACTTTATCATATTTATCCTTCAAATCTGTTCAAACTTTATGTGCACTTGATTTGTACACAATACCATTAACCAATTCCTTGCTCACAGCATTCATGATCCAAGATAAAACTATTGTATTTGTCGCGCCCCCTTTTTTTCTTATGAAAGTGGGGTTCAACATTCACGGGGTGTAATGACTCATTTACTTTTGGGAATTGGGTATTTGAAGAGTCGCCACCTAACGGATTATGGTGCGTTAGGGCACCTAGAGCGATTAACTCTTAGGTTGGTTTGCATTACCAGAGATTAGGGTAAGGGCTCGAAATAACCTTGAGGAGAAGGTGTTAGACACCCCTCTTGGTCCACAACTGTGGGTCCCGGCCGAACTTATATTCACAAATTAGTCCATATAAATAGTTGAATTAAATAAGTTGCAAGTAAAGCACGTGGAATAATTCAAGTAGTAAGATAAAGGTTTGAACACGTAAAACAAAGATTTCAATAAAGAAAGGATTTAGTAAAGAGGGGTCCTATGTTGGTTATCCTATAGGGTCACCCCATGCAATGTCCGGTAAACACTGCTCAATAAGGGGCTACACGCGACATTAACGCGTAGGCATCATATCCCATGTCTACCCTTTCCATCCCCTTCTTGGTCATACAAATCGAGTGTTTGGTCAATGATTCCTATTACGCGCTACTACCCGTCCCTTCTTAATGGTCCTGGAAGGAGTTAGGACCTCTACCTATATGTGGTTCTAGACGTACTCCTAAGGTTTTAAAAGGCGAAAATTCTAAGGTGACAGTCAAAACATTTAGGACTTTCACATAATGGGAGCAATTAAGAGGCTCAGAGTTTCCTACTCAAACAAACACACAAGCAGCACGACTCAAAGACAGTTGAGGCCTTTTATTAGTCAATGTCCTAAAGCAGGATATCTAAGTGAATATGCAGAAATAAACAAAACTCTTTATACACAGAAGTTGTACCTTAGTAGTTGCCTAGGGACTCTTTTAAAAGCATGTTATAACCAGAAACGTTAAGCGACAGAGATAGTCTCAGAGAAATGCAATTTTTGAAAACTCCCTAAAGACTTGCCTATATGCAGAATACTGGTGTCTGTATTAATGCAGAAACAAACAGATTTTGAAATAAACTCCTTTAATACCTATAGACATGATATCTAATGAGATTGCGGTAGTTTGAAATAACTTGTTTTAGAAAACGCTTAATACTTAACAAGACCAGTTTAAAAATGAACTAGGTGTAATGAAGTTGATTTATTAGACTAAATTAAATTATTAAACATTATTGCGAGTAGAGATCCCTATAGGCATGATATCTAGGTGGATTACTGATTTTAATTGATTTGCAGCAACATACAGTGTAAGCACGTGATTTTTGCCCTATATGAGAATTACTCCCAAAAAATTCAAAAATAAAATGATTTTTCTTTGGTGTGCAATTTTGTGATATTTTGTGATATTTTGAAGAATTATTTGTATTTGTCTGTGCGTGTTTATTCGCTAAATTAATAAAAAATACAAAAATATGTCGCATTTTGCATGTAGGATTTAATTCTATAATTGTTAGTAATTAAGCTTGTTTTACAAATAATAAAAATTACAAAAATAGGCATCTTTTGCATTTTTAGCATTTAATGTCCAAATATACAATTTTATGCTTAATTATTACTTAATTATGCGTTAATTGTT